TTCAGGAACAATGAGGGCGACGTCCGAACGTGGTCACTCTTCAAGAAAGCAATCATGCCAGCATTTGATCGTCCCGCTGTCAGAAAACTCTTCGCCGAACAATGTTTGCACTCGCGTGCACAGGACATGGGTGAGTCGTTCACCAGTTACATTGAAGACGTTGTCAATCTGTGCAGACGCGTCAACGCCGACATGATGGAAACCGACAAAATAAAGCGCATAATGAAAGGAATCAATGACGATCCTTTCCAAATGTTGCTGTCGAAGAACCCGAACACAATCGCTCACTGTTATTAGCTTGTGTCACAACTACGACAAGTTGCACAAGCAGCGAGCTCGTACAACACGAGTTCCACCACCCAATGCGGGGCCACTCTCGAGTCTCACCATCGACCCCGAACGTGTGCCGCTTTTGACAGAAATAAAGGCCTTCGTCCGCGAAGAAGTTGCAAGGCAGCTCTGACTGGTGCCCTTCACACAAATGGCTATCTCAACTCTGCCGTCCTCCATACGTGATGTCATCCAAGAAGACGTTGCTGAAGTGCTGCCTGCTGCCCGCGAGCAAGATCTTGGGGCGGCCCCGCTTACATATGTTGCGGTATCTTTTATGCCCGCCTGCAGAGGGCCAGTGCCACCTATCCAGCCTCCTGTCAGCCATACTCCTTCTATTTCCTGGTCCAAAGCTGCCCCTGTAACCCATGGCGAGCACTCGACAATCGCCCCATATGCTTCCCAAGTAGGCACCTCGGACACGTCGCCAGGCACTGCCGCTGCCGGGTTGAGACCTTCGATGACAGCCAACGAGTGTCTTACTTCTCACGTGATTCCGGCGCGCCTTTCACTCCCTCCGCCGCACCGGAACGTCGCTACCACGCTGATCATCACCCTCGATTCGAACACACCCTTCATCATCCCCTCGTCACCGATCGCCGTCGCCGATGCGACGACCACCTACCGATGAGGGAAGCTAGACGACGAGTTCCCGAGGCAAGAGATGCTCAAATTTCGGTTGGCCCAAGTCCTCGGTTTTCTCCTAGCAATGTCATTGACGTCTTACTCAGAAATGTCGCTACAGTCGCCCTTGTCGAAACCGGTGCCGCTTTAGTTGATGCCGAATTTCATCACTCACTTCGTGAAGTCACGATGCCTCTTTTTGAACTGTCGCTTCGAACAGCAAGTGCCCCGCCCTTTCAACCAACTGCAGCGTGTACAGCATGTGTGATCGTTCAAGACATTGTGTAAACGTTAGAACTTATTGTGATTTTATCATGTTCTCATGACATCATCTAAAGATGGGACTTTCGCGCCACAACGCCATAATTGACTGTGCTCAAGCGAAAGTTGAATTCTCCTTACTTGGCGACTTTACCTCCGTTGACAGTCAATCTACCGCTAAAATTATCTATATCCAACCGTGATCTTCAGCATTCGTACAGGTGTCATACAGGGCCATCTCTGACGAAACGGTTTTTTTCGTGCCATCTCAAAAGTTTAGTACACGAAGACCCCTTCCATTGGCTTTCGTTGCTCTTGATTTGGCCGGGGTTTGGACACAATTCCCATTCACAATCTTCTTTTGACGCTGCTCTTATTGCTTTGTTGCGAGTGCTTTGGTAACGTCGAGGTGATCGACTCTGCATGAATGGTCTCCGTCCCCGATGAGGTATCTTCCAGAGCTGTGTGTGACTGGGTATCCTCTCCTGTGCCTGATGTAGCGTCTACGAATGTATTTAGGGCGTTACTCGCCAAAGATTTGACGCCTTCGCAGCAATCGCCGCTCCTTACTGTGCTTCAGCACTTCTGCCCTGCTTCTGACGTTGAACAAGCATCACTAGGCCGTGCATGCACAGATGAACACCACATCGACACTGGCTCTCATTCACCGCTGCGGCAACGGCCGTATCACGTGTCATTTACTGAACGTCGGGTTATTGCAGAGCATTTCGACGACATGCTCGGCCAAGGCGTCATCCGACCTTCACAGAGCCCATGGGCTTCTTCAATGTACTCGTCACAAAAAAAAAGATGGGTCTACACAGTTCTGCGTCGAATTTTTAGAGATTGAACGAAATCACGCTAAAGGATGTTTACCCAGTGGATCGCATTGACGATGCTCTTGACTGCTTACAGGTACCTGAATTGTTTTGCTCATTAGGTTTGCGGTCGGGCTACTGGCAGGTGCCAATGGCAGAGGCCGATCGCCCCAAAACCGTTTTTGTCACATCTGACGCCTTGTTGGAATTCACCATCATGCCTTTCGGACTGTGCAAAGTGCCTGCTACGTTCGAAAGAATGATGAACAATGTTCTGCTAGGTCTTAATATAACATGACATCGTGGTGTTCGTCCCTGATTTTCAAACACACTTGCTCCGACTCCAGCACGTTTTTACATGCTCACCTAACACCGCGTTACAATTATATCTCAAGAAATTGCGATACTCTGTATGCCAGCCCATCATTCTAGGACTTGTTGTGACAAAGGAGGGCATTGTCTCGAAATCTGATAAACTGCGCGCCGTTACTGAGTTTTCTAAACCCACTACCATCGAAGAACTTCGCTGTTCCATTGGCCTATGTTCTTATTTCAGGCGATTTGTTCGAAACTTTGCGTCGATTATATCACCTTTGATGCAACGTCTTGGTGGCACTCTCGATATGTCGTCGTGGTCTCCAGCTTGCGATGAGGCTTTCACAACATTGCGACGTCTCCTTACGACGCCCCCCATTCTTCACCACTTTGACCCCCAAGCTTGCCCTGAGGTCCACACCTACGCAAGTGTCATAGGCATGGGTGCAGTAGTCGCACAGCGTCAACCTAGTCACACAGACTACGTCGTGGCATACGCGAGTCGCAGATTCACCAAGGCTGACAGCAACTACAGCGTGACAGAAAAGGAGTGTTTGGCCATTATGTGGGTGCTTGGAAAGTTTCGTATATATTTTTATGGCTGTTTCTTTGACGTCGTCACCGACCACCATGCGCTGTATTGGCTTTTAACGTTGAAAGACCCATCTGGCCGGCTTGCCCGTTGAGCGTTAAATATTCAAGAGTGCGCCATACACGTGGTTTATCGTTCAGGGCGCAAACATTCCGACGCTGACGCGCTTTCCCGCTCACCTCTCGTCCTGAAACAGGCTGATGACCCTGGGTGTGAGCCCACGTGATTTTCTCTTAACTTTCATAATATTGCTGTGGAATAAAGTAATGACCCCTGGACGGCGTCATTTCTCGCCCTTCTCTATGGCACCTCTAAAGTCCCACCATCGCGGAACGCTCCAGTGCCAAGTTGCCCATTTTGCGATTCGTGAAAGCTGTTCTACCGTCGCAACTATGCTCCAGAGGAGCGTGCATGGTTGCTTGACGTACCACAAACTTTGAGGTCAAAGATCTGCTCCTCCTTTCATACTGACCCACAGTGTGGCCTCGCAGGAGTTTTCAAGACGTATAAAACCGTTCGACACCAACACTACTGGCGTGGTATATATAGTTTCGTTCGCAACTTCGTCAGCTCTTGCCGTGAATGCCAGTGCCGCAAGTCTCCCCGGCACATCTCCGCCGGAAAACTACAGCCATCGCCATGCCCGTCCCAAGCCTTCGATTGTGTCGGCATTCATATTTTGGGCTCCTTTCCATAACTCGTGCCGGAAACTGGGAATAATAGTGGCAGTTGACCATTTAACTCGCTATGCTGAGAGTGCTGCTGCCCAGAACGCTACAGAACAAGAGCTTGCCACTTTCATACTGAGCAGCTTTGTGCTGCGTCAAAGAGGTCCTCAAAAATTGCTCAGTGACCGAGGCTGCACCTTCCTATCTGACGTCATCTAAAAAAATGCTTGATGACCGCACTATTGTTCATCGCGCATGCACTGCTTACCATACGCAGGCCAATGACAATACGAAACGCTTTATTCAACTGTTGGTGACATGCTTGCTATGCACGTCACACCTGGTCACTCTAATTGAGACCTGGTTCTGCCGTTTATAACCTCTGCCTATAATACCGCGACGCAAGCCACAACCGGATTTTCCCCCTTTTACCTCCTTTACGGCCACCACCCTATACCATTCTGCCTTATCCACCAACGCCTCCGAATGTCCGCCTATGTCGTATGCCAGCAGACCCGCTGAAGAATGTTGCAAGCTGGCCGCCACTTTACTTCAGATGACCACAACCGCCAGAAGACCACTCACGATGCCCACAACTCGACTCCCGTTTTTCTCTCCGGTGACCTTGTGTCGCTGTTAGTGCCGCATCGCACACCGAAACTTTCTTCTAAATTTCTTCAAAAAAACGATGGATCTTACCGCGTCCTCGAGAAGACTTCTCTGGTCCACTACCTGATTGAGTGAGCGTTTCACACTACCTTCCGATATGCGACGTCATAACCATGAGGTTGTACACGTTCAAAGGCTCAAGCTTATTACGGTTCTACAAACCCTGAAGAAGACAAAGTCCCAGGATGGCTGAGTTTTATGTAGGGGTTCCATTGTAATGAAGAGGAAGTAGATAGACGCAAGGACAGCGACATCGTGTGTGCGGCAGAGGCACGAGCTAGCGGACTGGGCTCGAAACTGTGTGCAATCAGCCAACAGTTCCAGTGCAATAAATCATCTTTTCAACGCACATATGAATAATATATATATACATATATTACGTGTGTGTATTTGTTTGCTGCTCACAAACATTCATTTTAAGAAGGCTGCCGCACAGGTCTACACAAGAGGAGTGACCTGTGGCACACGCTATAACAATCGTTATATAAGAAAAAAGCTGCTGGTATCTGAGCTAAGTCTGCATTTCTTTAGCTATGTGGAACCGACCTGTTACTGGTTACTTTTACTGAGCCCACATTCTGTAAAAGCAAGCTTTCTGGAGTGCAGGCGTAAACTATTACCTCTAGTACCCCTTGACGAGTGAATGCTTTGGGAAGTAAGCAACGTACAGCACCCATACGATTCAATCACAGTGGTCCTACAGGTAGAAACGCATTCAATTATGTGGCAAGCAATATTTATTATTGATTTTGCAAACATCTGTTTCACTGACATGCCAGAGAACGAGCCAGAGCTGGCCTGTTAACTTTTGCAGTCTCGGTCTTCGGTAGGCAGTCCACAATGAAAACGCCTCCATAGAGGTGTTTATGCACAGCCAGGTTATCTGCGAGAATGAAGACGAAATGTTTAAATGTTGCTCACAACGGGATCATTGCTGGGGCTCAGAAAACTTGAAACCCCAAAAAATGTGCGGCTCCTAAAGATGTACAGACGAATTTTAAAGATTTTACAGTGCTTGCTTTAAAATGAAAACGTAGGCATCGAGAGCCCTAAAAAACACAGCTGCTTGAGAATGCATTGAATATGTATTATTTATACCGCTTCCTTCACACAGTAATTTTGGTTTCAACATCAATAAGATGACGTCGCCGTGACAGGTAAACAGGGGTCTGACATTACAGGATATATGTAACATGTGACATGCTAACAAGCACTGCCTCTTTGCTGGTCACGTAAATAAAAATGAGTTTGTTATAGTCCCAGAGACTTTCACAGAGATTTTCGCGATATAGGCAGTATTACTTGTCGTGGTAATGTTCATTGTGGCACAGCTGGTGTGATGACTGTGTAAGATGAACTTTCAAAGCAAAACACACACACACACACACACACACACACACACATATATATATATATATATATATATATATATATATATATATATATATATATATATATATATATATATATATATATATATATATATATATATATATATATCAAAGACTTCTTTTGCGGATCCAGTTTTTTGTATGCTTTAAAATACGGCGAACGAACATGCGAAAATATTCATTACTTCCTACATTTCCGCAGGAGGGCCTGCCTTCGTCAGGGAATACTGTATTCTTTGACGAAGGCAGGCTCTCCTGCCGAAACGTAGGAAGTAATAAACATTTTCTCACGTTCGTTCGTCGTTTTTCAAAGCATATATACACACATATATATGTATTATATATATATATATATATATATATATATATATATATATATATATATATATATAGATAGATAGATCGATAGATAATATATATATATATGTGTGTGTGTGTGTGTGTCTGTGTGTGTGTGTGTGTGTGTGAGTCAAAGATCCTCCGTGAGAAGTCAGCGCAATTTATTGCTTTCGACGTTTCAGCCAGAGTCTGGCCTTCATCAGAAATAAGGGTAGAATTTGTCGGTGCTCAGCTTTATACAATCTTAGAGACAGAGTACGCGAAAAAAATGTACTGAGAACATGAGGTATACACCCCCGGCCACCCCCTTCCTCTCTTTTTTTTCTTCTTTTCCGCCTTTCCTTTCTCTTTTCTTCTCCTTTCTTCCTTTTATTTTCCTTTTTTTCTTCTCCTTTTTTTCGACGATCGCCTTTAGGATGTCCGTGGTCTGCAGGTCCTTCCTTCCACTAACGTATGATTCCTGACCAGACAGTGCTGCATAGCTGCAGCGGTTCTGGTACGGAGAAAAGGAGTTTTTTAGGAAGTTTAGGCCTTCAACTACTCATTGCCCCGTAAACGTCTCGTCGTTGAACGAGAGGCACCACGTATTGCCGTAGAGGCTAGCAAGCGTCTGCAATATTGTTCTGGCACGTTCCGGATTACGAAGTAGGACCTACTACTGCTGTTCCTTAAATAAGTGCACAGCCTTAGATGTGCACACAACAGGTACGGCGAGAGGGAAAGGTCTCGTACCTGCTGCCTGGCGCGGAAGTTCCAATCCCGAGGAAGACCCTGGAGTGCCTCAAGCCGTCGCTAAGGTCCGGACAAGCCGGCGGATCATGGCGTTCTTCAGGTTCGGTTCAAATGCGACAATCGTCTACAGCTTCTTTTCGCCCGCCTTTCGCTGTTTCCTGCTTGCTGCCTGCTGCATGCTGCGCCCGGCCCGGTCACCATTTGCCTGCGGGTGATGTCCGTGGCCTCCGGTCGTCGTGACCGCAACGTCGCCACGTGGTGCTGCATGGCCCGGCCCGCCTTTTTGCTGCCTGGTCCCATCTGCTGCTCATGCCGGCACCTGCTGTCATGGAGTCACCACGCCATACAAGGTCTTCCTGCGGTCGTCACCCCCGCCGCCGTCACGCACCCCTCCCCGCCGGATCGTATGTGCCGCCACAGGCTCAACGATCTCTCCCCGGTACTACGGCTCCAGCTGCGGTGTGCCCTACTTCGTCGGTTGCTGAGTCGTCCCAGCCCGGGTCAGCCTGGCTGCGCTGTGCCCTCGCCCACTTCCAGTACAGTGCAGCCCAGCCAGCCAACCTTGGAGCCCTCGCCCACTTCCAGTACAGTGCAGCCCAGCCAGCCAACCTTGGAGCACGACGTACTGCGCATTCATCTCTCGGCCCCGGGTGAAGCTCCAGTGCCCCATCAGTGGCTGCAGCGTGGCCTAGCAGCGGGGCCAACTGGACGTCGCAGGTACAGTCCGTGTGCCGGCACGCCGAGGTCGAGCACGAGTGCTTCGTGCGTGATCAACTGTACTTGTGCTCAGTGTGTGACGCCCCGTTGTCCTCCCGCCCATTCAATCACCGCTGCCTGGCCACTGCCACGTTGGTACCGTTTCGTCGGTGCCATGGCGTCACTTCCACGTCTGTTATGCGACATTCACATCGTCCCGTGATCTTTCCAACCACCTTCGCTATCATGTCACGCCAGGTAGGTTCTTCGCTTGCTGCTGCTCAGTGGGCAGCCGCTCACTGCCGGTGCTACACTTCCAGCACGTCTTTCTTCTCAGGCACTTCTTCGCTGGTACCACCACGGGCTTCTCAGCGTCGCAGGGACAACGCGTCCCCTGCTGCTCGCCACATGCGGGGCTCTCCCGATCAGGTGTCCGGTTCGGGATACTCAACACTTTCGTCGAAGGACGAACCCGTTTCATTCCAGTACCTCTCTTCAAGCGGGTCATCGTCACCCCGGGTTTCAACCTCCGAAACCGGGTCACCACCTTCTTCGCCCACCACTAGCCCGGTGCCTCCCGCATATGGCCTGTGCGAGGTCATTGTGGTCTTGCTGCCCTGGCCTGCGTCTTTGCGGGTCTTAAAACCTTCCGGTGTTCTTATGGCCTCCCGAGGCTGCGCGGCCATCGGCTCCTGCATTGCTGACTCTGTACATGGCACTGACCGGGCAGGACTCGGCCCACGTCCACGCCGTCACGTCGTCGACACAAAGTGAGGCGTTTGCCTCGCGCAGTTTGGTCGCAGCCTCGCCCACAGACCTGGCTGCAGTCTCAGTCAACAACATGCTACACGGGCTCTCCAGTGCACTGGCATCGCTTCATCCGCCACCTGATACTGGGCCCCCTCCGGCTCTCCCGTCATAATGCCCGCCATCCTCGGCTTCCTCTACATTTGTACCACTGCCAGAGGGTGAGGCGGAGACGGACCCTGAGGACGACGTCGACACCAGTGAGCAGGCGTAGGCTTTTTCTCCGAGTCTCCGAATGCCACCCGATTACACTCACTTTCTCGACGACCAGACCCGCGTGCTTCGTTCCCGAGCCTTGGGACCCACCCCCTGACGAGCCGTGGGCCCACTGCGAGGACGCCTAGAACCAGGCGGTTGCTCTTGCCACCGATGCGGTACGGTTAACGAAGGTTCGCGCTGGCCGCGAATGCCGCGAGCCCAACCCAGCAAGCTCAGGTGGAGATACAGCGGCTTTACCACCAAAACCGATGCCGTGCGGTAAGATTGATGCTAGAGGACCCTTCACAAACGTGCGCGATCCCCATCCAGGATCTGCAAAATCATTGGAGCCACATGTGGCCGGCCCGACAGACCGACTCGACTCTTCTTCTACGCCAGACATTTGCGCCTGCAGGCATTGACGTGACGCCTTAAACCTAGAGGAGGCGTTCTTGTGTCTATGCAAGTCTGAGAACATGGTCCCCTGAGAGCGACCGTCTAACCTACCACTAATAAAAAGCAGTTGACCCCAAGGCCCCGTTCCTGGCTGCTTTATTCAATGCATGAGTTCATCATTGTAGAAGACTAGACTCGTGTCGCACATCCCGGATGGTCCTGATTTTCATGCGAGGAGACCCGCAGTTTTCTTCCAACTGGCGCCCCATTTCCCTTGGCTGTTGGGCTGTACGGCGGCGAAACTGTACGCCAAGTGCCTTGCAGCCCGACTACAGGCATGCATCTTGGAGCAAGCTAGGCGTCCTCTTCAAGTGCCAAAAGGGTTGCCTGCAACATGACGGAGTGTTCGACCTAAACTACATATTACAGCGGCGTTTCGATATCGCCAGATCGGGCGGCCCTGATTTTCGTGCGGCGTTGTTAGACTTTACCAACGCCCACGGCTTCCGTCCCGCATAAGGTGTTATTCAACGAACTTCGGGGTGCTCGGTGCCGGTCCTGTCTTCACCGACCTCATCAGATATATGTACGTGGACAACCACACATGCACCCGGGCTGCAGAGGGCTCGAGAGAATCAGTACTGTTCAATACAGGGCTGCGTGCCACTTAGCAGCCTGTTCTTTAACATCGTGGTCAACCCGAACATCAATGCCATCCAGGGTTCTCACACCAGTCTCAAGATCCTGGCCTATGCGAATAGCTTGACGCCGCTCACCTCGATGCCCCACTGGTTTCAACGATGAATAGACCGGATAGAGACTATCGCCACTTCGCTCGGCCTGTCACTCAAATCGGCCATGTGCGCATTCGTCCACATGGTCGGAGCCACTCCCGTGTGCATGAGGCTAACAGAGTTCAGGGTTGCGGGTGTCCTCATCGCCACTTTTCAAGACCTCGAGTTGCAGCTGTCCCTGGGGCGCCCGGTCGGCTACAGGATCTCGACCGACTCCACCTCCGTCATCGACACCACCATCGCCCAAGCACAGGCGATCCTTTCATTGATGTTGGAGCCGTGGCAGCGTCAGGGACGCGCACCGGACCTTTGTGTACCCAGCGCTCAACTTTCCGATGAGGTGCGGTGTCCTTCGCGAAGACCGACTGGCACCATCTCGATGACGCCTGTCCTGCTGCTGCTGAAGCGTACATTGTACCTGCCCAGCAATGCCACGACATCATACATATACGGTTCAGCACAGGGATGGAGCTATCGGACTGCCTGTCGTGGCAGAGATCAGTGACTTCTGTCGCATAGACTCACGTCTATGCTTCTCACGTCCTTCGACGCCGAGCTCCCGGAGATGGCCTTCGAGGACACATACTCCTTCGTCACCATCCGCCTCGGCTGAGAGGTCACCTGTCACAAGCTGGAGCCCTACCTCTGGGGATCGCTACCTGACAGTGCCAGGGCCCCTGCCACCAAACTGCAGCCCGTGTGGACCCGGACCCGGAAGGCCTCTCGTCGCTCCTACGTCGCCTGGGACCTGTACCCTGGCGGCTAGCGTACAACATGTGGCGACAAAGCCATTACGCCCCAGCACTGCTGCCGCGTCCTGAGATCCCTTCGAGAGGCATTGGCCGACGAACAGACAGCGCACCCTCCGTGACCTCCTCAACCAGGGGTAGGTGCTGGCCTACATGGCGGTGGACCGCGACAGTTAGAACTTCATGTGGACGGGCGCCCACACCTCCTTCGCAGACTGGCGGTTCGTACATCAGGCGCGGCGCAACTTGCTCCCGCTCAATGGCGCCTGCATGTGGGGCACACCGGACCGTGACCAGAGATGCCATGCTTGTAAGTATGAGCGAACCCCCCCCCCCCACGTTATATGTCTCTGCATGCCACGCAGTGCCGTGTACAAGACCCGCCACAACGCCATCATTGACCACGCTCGGACCACTGCCTCACAGAATTTTATGGTGGCCTTCGAAGACCAGGTCGTTGGAGACAGAGGCTTGAGTCTGGATATTTTGTTTTGTTTTGGCCTTTGTGGCCATATGTTTCAGCCACAGCGGATGTGGCTTTCAGTAGCTACGTTGTGACTTCAGAGAATGCTCGTGCAATAAAACTGAAACATGGTGAACGCTGCTAAAGACGAATAACTTGAGTGGAAGTCTGCATGAAAATGTAATACTCGCTAATACACTGTGATAGAAGAACTGCAAAATGGCGAAAAGGCACTTGTCACGCTTGCGTGGTTGCGTTCATGTCATTAGAATGCAAAATTATTGTTTAGGGCTTAACGTCCGAAAACAACGATATGATTACGAGAGACGCTGTAGTGGAGGGCTTCGAAAGTGTCGACAAACTGGCGTTCTTTCACGTCTACTAACAAGGTACAGAGCATGCAACTCTACCATTTCACCTCAATCAAAATACAGCTACTGCGGCCACCCACTGTGGTCAAGCCAATCGAATGTAGCATTAGGAGTGGCAATGAAAGGCACCACTTCAAACTCGGCCACGAATCACTAAAATAATTGTTCAGGAGAAATAGTCCACCTAATTTGTGTGACATCGCTACTCGTAATTAGGGTAGCGTTGGAAACATGCGCTTGAAGTTTCGCTGAATTCGACAACACTGAAATAATGGACTGAGCCACTCTTTCGTGTTAATCGAACTACGTGTGCTGTGCAGCTTGTTTCTATGAAAAGCAAAGTCTAAAGGCAAAAATATTCGAGAACTTCAAATGAGAACACATAAAAGCATGGGGATTCTTCTTCGAATGAAAGTTCAAGTTGACTGAGGGGCTTGCGAAGAGAACATAGCCCCTACATAAAAGAAAGAAAGGAGCAACATATGGTCACTCTAAGTGACTTACTTGAAATGGTGGCCTTCACGTCGTTGACGAAAGTAGTGAGGTCTTGCTTCTTACCTTCTTCTGTGATAACAATGGCCGCTGCTGGAGCTTCACCGTATTCCGAGTGCTTCAGCCCTACCACAGAAACCTCGGCTATCAGAGTGGGGTGTATGCGAAGCAACAGTTCTTCAAGCTCAGATGGAACAACTTGATTGTCCATGCACTTGATCATTTGCTTGATGCGTTCAGAGAAATATAAGCGACCATCCTCGTCGTAGTACCCAGCGTCACCTGAAGAATGAAAAAAATAACTGTTATTTAACTTATTGAACTACGCGCAAGTACATTGAGTAATAAGCATGCGCATGGCGGAATCACGGAATCGAAAGACGTATAGAACCATACTGCAAGAAATCTACAGAGGATGCACACTCACTAACGTGCTGTAAAGGAATGCTACTGAATACAAATAAAGGGTGCGGTGTAGAGAGGCATGATCTCCATAAGGAATATTTAGCGAATACTTGGAGGAGATTTTCAGGGCGCTGGATTGAGAAGTTAGGAAAAAATAGAGGGCAGTACCTGAGTATGCTGCGATTCGATGATGAAGTTTTAGTGCTGACGTTGCCTTGACTCATGGGATGAATAGGCTCATGATTAGTGAACCAGCCATGGAATGCAGTACAATAGGTTTGAGAAATAATAGTATTGATGCTAAATAAGAATCAACCGTTTCGGCAGACAATGGCACCTTGCGATATATTAGAAGGCACTGGAATTCAAAAAATGTATGTCTACTTAGGACAGGTAATAACCACGCAGCTAAACCCTCAGACTGTAATAACTGAAAAACTGCTTTATTATGATAACATTAACATCAACAAACACGAGTACTTGAAACCACCATATCAGCGCTCCGCCACAACAAACCACGACAAGAGTATCAGGCCTTTCATCTCCCGTTGCAATTCATTTAAGTATTCCTACTTTCCGCCAGTAATAGAAATATGGAATAACCTGCCACGTAATATAATGTCCTCAGAATCTCTCGAATCATTCACTGCCAAACTTGAAATGTTTTTGGATCAGTAAGTTGCAGCGTTGTAGAATAATGGCGCAACTTTTCATTGAATGTACGTTTTGATTTGTATGCCACTCGATGTTTCAATTCTCAGATCTGTGTCTAATATGCACTCTTTCCTGTTAGGCTGTGGTGTTTTTATTCTGTTTTATTTCTTGGTTCTTCGACTAGATGTACAGTTGTAATTTGTAATTGTTTAGAGTAGTCTGTACTGTTCATTCTTATCTTTTCCCGTGTTCATTTTTTTCTTTAATGTGAAGATGACAATCTGAATAATTTCTTCCCACTCCTGTATGAGCCTGTTAAGGCTTACAGTATCAATAAAATAAATAAATAAATAAATAAAAAAGGGTGGGGTGAGGTATATTTGTCAAGAATACTGAAATCATAAATACACTTTACTAGTACTTCACGAAAAAAAAGGTATATAACACCTGCATCTTTGTTTATTCTTTATATCGCGATATATACTTGCCTCAAACGAATATTACACTTACAACGTAGAAGCATGGAGGCTAACATAGAAGGTTCAACTTAAATTGAGGACTACGCAGTAAGTTAAACAAATGAAAGTACTTGGCGTAACTATAAGTGACAGGAAGAAATCAAAGTTAGTAATAGAACAAACAGGTTTTCTGGACATCATTGTTGATACCAAGAAGAAAATGAACATGACCAGGTCATGGAGCACGTAGACAGAAAAACCGCTCGAAATTAAGGTTAACTGACTAGATTCTAACAGAAGGTGAATGCGCGAAGATTCGAAGACTTTATAAGGCAAGAAAAATTGAATTAGTTTGGTGCTATGACAATGCAGCACCAAGCACAGCGCTAGGTTGATATCAAGAACATGGGAAGTGCCTTTGCCTCTCAGTGGGTGTAGTCGGGCTGATAGCTATCATGATGATGATGATCAAGGTCTTGTTACAATGACGTCTGTAGGGGGTCACCAGGTTCAAACTTGTTTTCTTAGAACATTTCATGTCTGCACCTCGGTGCGTTTTCAACCCCAAGAGCCTTTTGCCCATTATTATAAGAAAGAGATAGAAAGAAATAACAGGGCATTGCTTTTACGTGGTCTTCCCTGCTGTGAACGGCATTGCAGTTGTCTAACGTTGGTGGCACATACGAGAGACCAAACTAGGATGAAAGGGAACAAAAGTGAAATTTGTCGATGTCGCTAGCCACTGCACTCTAACCTCTTTGTATTTTTCTGTCACATTTGCTGGTTCCTCGGTCACAGCTTTGGCGTATGCAGGGCTGGAATGTGCGCTGTGGCTGGCTTGGCTCCTCGTAACGGAACTGTCGCCATTTCACTTTCATCGCGACACCCCTAATGCACAGAGTGGTGTGCGTAGCATTCCAGCGCTGTCGGTTTTATGCTTGGATCGCAAAGTCTGCAGTGCATAATGTGGTAAGTGTAGCACCTGAACGCTGGCAGTTTCTATGGCCGTATGTAGTGAATTTTACAACAACATAATACAACAACATACACCCTAAAGTTCGAACAACATTGGCATTGTCCCAAGAAGAAGCTTCGCTTATAATTTGCATTAGGCAGTATCGTCATCATCGGTGAATTTGTATTTATAAAAACAGCTAGCGAATTCACTTGAAGAGCAAATTGTCCCCATCCTTATATATTTTTTATTTGTTTTGATGTCCTGCCCAACAGCTGTTAGCAGAGTTCAGCACAGGCCTCTCGCGGTGTTCGAAGCGCTTTGCGATTGTTCGAGATGATGCTCAGAACTACTCCCCGGAAGCGAGTAAACTGCAGTAACGCTGGATTGTTTGGTCAAATACGTACAAAATTGTGGTGCTTTTCGCCGGTGATCGGATGACAAATAACGAACAACCATGGCCACTGTTGTGTAAGTGCGATCGTTAACTCGTCATTCATTTCATCCGTCAATATCTTTCTGGCCCTGCGACTTATCATGATTCTACGTGCTGACTTTTAATTTCTTGCGCATAAGCTCTTTCCTTCAATACCTTCAGTCAGTGCTGCAATGTTGGGCAGTTCAAATATTGTCCGAACATCTGATGGAAGCCTTGGTTCTTTGAATTTCCAGATACTCTCGGAAAGCCGTAAATCAAGCCCCAGCCGCAAATAACACTGCAATGTACAGGTGACAACGCAATCAACAAGGTGAAAAATATTACATCCCGTGTCGTGAACCAAACACCAACTCCAAGGTTTCATCGCCTTCCCGACAGCACCCTGATGTCCAAGACATTGAAGAGCCCGGCGGCTTAAACGAGAATCACCAAAAGACGGCGCTCAACGCTTGAGCGGGTACATAAGAGCTCCACCTTAAAGAAAAATTTACGCGTGATGGTGAGTACTGTCGTAAATGTTATTAATAGTTATTCAAGAAAAAAAAAACAGGGCGAATGGCTGCAGGTCGAGAATATAACCCCATTCAGCACTCGTTACATGCTCCATCCCGTAAATTTCGTCCTGCGGATGTTTGTATCGGTTTTGTTCTTTTTGGTAATCAACGTTCAAATTACTGCGTCTGTGTTGTCCCCCTAAAGTGGCCATTTGTAAAATTTTTTATTGGCAATGCCCCAAGACTATTGGCATCGTGTTAAAGTGCCTGCACGCCACGTTGAGTTTGACTGACTGGCCAGTGGCCCACAGAGTTGAACGAAGGCGGGAACTCTGGATGCATGCGATTAAAATCAATGTTGTCACTGCTCAGCATTTATACAGAACTTATACATGATCCGGCTTCTAATTTATTAGAAAGCATGTGAGCGTGGATAAACGAGAACATGCAGTAATGCAAAAGCATGAGGTGCCGAACGTAGTGTAAGGAATAAACGAGACAGAAGCAGCACCCATGTTTTTGTTGTTGTTATTCACTTCAAATTGCTCGTACCCGAAGGATGGGATATCCCGATTATAAGGTGAATTGGCCCGATACTTTCCGCATTGCGTCATTCCTAAAAAAACTTTTGTTGATTCATTCTGATTTGAAGTGCCAATTGCAACTTTGCTGAAAAAATTACGAAAAAATAGTGAGACCATAATTTAGCAAGAAAATCATTTATTCGCAATGATGTATTCCTGAACGGCGAATAAAATATCCCTGTGGCTGAAATTCAGTGTAGAGGCTCCACGTGAAAGAAGATCAGGTTGTGATAATTACAAGCCCAGTTTGTGAAGAGGTGGTGCTAGTATCCTTTGCCTAAATAAATCAAAATGGCAACAATGTAATAAAAATGAGTGATCGTTTCCTTTTGATTAAAGTAAATGCACATGGGGAATTCAATAAACATGTTCTATGCAAGTAAAAATTCAGGGAGGTAACGCGGCAACGATATTTGGTGATGACAACTTTCATCGTCCATGAATTAGACAGTTCACTGCGCCAGGGAAATAATAAGTGGTTGTACTCCAGAGAAGCCGTCAGTGCAGGTTCTGATAAATTTTGCCTGATTTTAAGTGTGCGAAATGGCGCCAATTGTGCGAGCCGGCTGTTCTATTCTCTGACTTCTTTCTCGTCTACTTCACTTTTGCTGCCCGCGCCCGAGCCCCAGCGTCTTTCTTGGTCGCGACACTCTGCCATGACTGCAAATCGTGCGGAGAGACCGTCAATGCTTCTGTTGGCCGGTACTGGCTGAATCGCGATGGTTGGTCTCGGCTACACTTCGCCTCACGTGAAGGTCTTCCTTTGTGTTTTCCGGAGGTTGGAGTTCGCTCTTTTGCTGCGCTCGGCCTTTTGCACAACGTGGCGTCTTATAAAAACATGCCAACGTATCTGGTGGGTGTACCCGACTGTTTCCTGATCACTGCAGGTCTAGTGGACGTCTGTTCCGCCGTAGTTGTACAAACAGGAGAATTCACTGCGTATTCGCAACTGTTGAATGTCGCAACGGGTTGACTTTCTCGCGCCATTCGTGCAGGGTTGAGCTGCGGCAGTGGGATCTCCCACCTGTCACTCAAGAAGTGGCGATGAGCACCTGTGCTGACGATCGATGCACCCCATGGCCTAGCGGTACCTCTGGTGTGCTCCCCGAGATGTTCGTAGTGGTGGTCCTCGACAAAGTGTTGCAAACATTAGAGCCATAGCACTCAGAATTCACATCACCGGCAGATGACTCAGGCTCCACCGTAAAGCCTCAATGACACGGACCACAGCAGTCCCAGGCACGTCGAAATTATCCTTCGAACGCTTTCTTTAGAACACTTTGCTATCAACAA